TAATTAGTTGTTAAACCCACCTTGCTGCTATTTCTCCTCCCCTTTCTGTTACATGGAAATGCTGTTCTCTATTTCTTCTCCTTGGTCCAGGAACATGGCAGAATTGCACTTCGTCTCATTCTTGAGGCTGATCTTGGCCAGCCATATGACGCTTTGGCCAATAAAAGATGGGCAGGGGTGACATATGTTGCTTTGGGTGGAAGAATGTAATTGCAATATACAACACTAAAACACTTTTTTCCTGCCACTGGAACCGACAACATTCCAGATGGCAGAGGCTCTGTTGACCTGATTCTCAGAGTAAGGACTCCAAGTCTGTGTACAATGGATGTGTAATGTGAGGAAGAAATAAACATTTGTTAACTAATTCACTGGTTATTACTGCATGTCATCAAGAGGACATGACCGCTGGTTGACTCAAGAGCTGGACCAGGTAATCAGAGGTTCCTCACCCCCTCCCCTATCCTTGGCATGAATACTCTACCCACCATTCCCACCATGGGAACCATTTTCAAGGATGTGGGCTTGACAAAGCAGTGTGTTGTTGAAACCATCTGAACAGTATATGTGACTGAACCCAGTTAGGCCTCTATATAAACGTTTAAGATTCTCGCAGAGTGGGAGAGGAGATCTACTCATCTTATGGCCACCTGAGATAAGCCTTGGATTTAAGTTCCCTTGCTTATTAAAACTTCCATCTACCAGTCTGGAGTGGTCTGCCTTTCTTTGTTCTCTCTCTGCCCAGTCTGTACATTTCACCCTGGGAAATTCTTGGGATGTGAACCAACACCATCATAATCTAGCTCATCCTGACTAATACACTCGGATTACTGTTGAGCTTCAGGCTCTCATCACTTCTCACCTGAGCTCTAACACATGCTACTCAAAGTGTAGTTTGTACATGGTATCCACAAAATATGGCCAGTTTTTAATGAGGTAAGGACAGATACTGAGAATAAACATTTAGAAATTCTTATAGCAAGTTATCTGATTAATTTTATCTGTTGAATCTAATAATAAAATATTTGGGCTTACAGTCTCTCCAAATCTTAGCACTGTGCCTTACTCATGGGGTACTAGAATAGTGTTTGTCAAATAGGATCAAAGCTTCATGATTACGAAGTAGAATTACAGTAGGCTTTCAAGCAACAGCAAGCAGACCTGGGGGATATTTAAGGTGCAAGACTCATTTCTTTAAATGAGTGTGAAACCGTCATTTAAAGGTTCCTAGAGTCTACTTTTGCCAACACAAAAGTTAGCTCCAGCAAGCAGAGAACCTTCCTGAGCTCTTTCTCAACTAACATTAAATACTGTTTTAAGTTTGCCTACAAAAAAGCATGGACATGAATGTATTTATTCTTAGGAATAAAACTTTGTAAATATATTGCCTTTGAATAGTTTTCCAAATTATCCACAAATGGCTTGACATTTTGACACATTTAAGAGTACACGAAGTTAATATAACTGATCCCTAAATCACTTCCCAACTCCCTCCAGGACTAACTAGAGTTATTTTTCTCTCCAGAGGTTGGTTGGTTGGTTGTTTTTGACATTAATACATCTCTCTGCACCAAACAAGAAGCAGGCAGCATGGTCGCCTGAAAAGAACAGTGAGCTGCGTGTAGGACACCTGGTCCTAGCCCTCACTGCCCACTTGCTTGCTACTACTAAATGAAGCCATTGCTTAACTACTTGGTGCGCTACTTTCTCCACCTAGTAAATGAGGATAGGAAGTTAATAATAATGAGTACATAGCATCAGCTTTGCTGAGAGAATCAAAATAAAGTGTACTGAAGCACTTGGTAGTAAATAAAATGCTATGCAATTGGAACTTGGCCTTTATATAGAATACTGCCTTGGAATGCGCTCAAATGATCTCATGCACATAGATTTTCTCCTCTCTAGCCAGATAGTAAGTCCTTAGAGGTGCACTGTGTCACATCTCTTTGTACGCTATCCCAAGTTCAGTCCTCTGGGACAAATAATATACATATAATGATTGTTTGAAAACTGTTTAATTTACCAAAAGTTGTTGAACCCCATCACCATCAAGTCACATGCATAAACTTCATACACTGCATGATGGGTATTTTTCTCTCGCACTGACATCCTTGTAGAGTTTTGGCTAAGGAGGGTTGTCACTGGTTATCTGAGTTCCTTGGGGGCACAGCTCATGTCATTAGCCTTTGTATCCTACATTTACCTTAGTTTTGCTGGCACACAGAAGGAGCCCAGCTGATGTCTGAAGCTAAATTAATAAATGCATGAAGTGAACTTTAATGAAATACTTCCTAATATTACCTCCATTCAGTCATCCCAGAACCTAAAAAGCCAACCTTTGTTTGATTTTGGTTAAACTGGTTTTTAATTTCACATTTTAAACCCAACATTTTAAAAGTCCACCTGCCCAGTAAGTCTCATGATTTTTCCATCTTCTGTCCTTAGCAAGCACAAGCAGTTCTTACTCAAAGATCATTAAAAGGATTAGGCTGCAGGGGTGAGGGTGGTGAGGACCAGAACAGCTATCAGGCTGAAAGAAAGGAAAATTGTACTAACTGTTCAGATACAACACTGTTCTGCACAGTAAACAGAGTGCGGCGGAGGAAGAAAGGGCTTCTCTATAGAGGAGCTATAAGCTCTGGCAGGTACCACTGGGCTGCACTAGTGAAGAGCTTCCTGCTGGGGCTGCAATGGAAAATGTGACCTCACAGACCAGGGACCCCAAGAACAAAGGCCAAGACAGCGCTGGAGAGGAGTCAGCAATGCCCTTTCCCTGTTCCTTCTCCCACGTAGGGAGGGATCCTCTTATAAGAAAGTCTATGTTTGTTACGGCAGCACTTTAAGTCTTTTACCAACACTAGTTAGCCAGTTCAGTGAGTGTTTCAGAGCCAGGGTCTCTTGCTATGTGATGGGATCCTGAAGTTTATTTAATAAATTGGGCTTTTGTAAGGAAAACATGAAATGTGTCATTTCATATGGTTATGAATAAAACCTTAGTCTAGGAAAAACACCCACCCCACCCACCCTTGCCCCAAACAAGCTTTTATTTTTCAATAAAGATCTACATTTTGAGTGAAGCATGAATCAAGTCACATATTTAATTTTACAGGCAGGCCAGAAAGGAAAACTTACTTATATTTTTGAGCACAGAAAACTTATTTATATTTTTATTTATGCCTACTTCCCACAGATTGAGAAGAAATTTTCAAGAGCACCACTTCTGAAGCTAACCAACTCCTAGAGTCTGAAAATTCGGTGCTTATTTCGCACTGCCCTCTGGTGTCCACATGGATCACTTTAGTTTGCCTTGAGGCAAAAAGTAAGCATCTATGTAATTAAACAAATCTACAATCTGCATTCATTCTTTCACTAAATATTTAGGAGAGCCTCGTATGTGCGAGTTTTTGAAAGGAGACAAGATACAGAGACATAAAAAAACAAAAACAAAAAACATGGTTCCTTGCTGTTCTTAAGGGGCCCAGAATCTAACGAGAGTCAAAAGTAACTGTAATCACACAATTTGATCATGCAAAAGAAATCCCTTTACCTAGTTTACCAGTCAAATGAGACTGACACATCTGGGTTGTCACCCTTTCCAAACTGTTCTCCACCATTATTCATGTTAGTATATATTTGGCAGGCTTTGGATAGAACAGTCTTTGGTGAAGAACATTCTCTGTACTCCTTTGGTGAAGGGGCATTCTGAAATAGAGGAGCCATCCCAGCACACACAATGAGATTGAGGCCTAGATTTTTTTTTTTAATGTTTTATTTATTTCTGAGAGAGAGAGAGAGAGAGATAGAGACAGAGACAGCATGAACAGGGGAGGGTCAGAGAGAGAGGGAGATACAGAATCCGAAACAGGCTCCAGGCTCTGAGCTGTCAGCACAGAGCCCGATACGGGGCCCAAACCCACGAACCGTGAGATCCTGACCTGAGCCGAAGTCAAGACACTTAACCAACTGAGCCACCCAGAAGCCCCGAGGCCTAGTTTTAAAAGTTTCTGTGGGAATGCACCTTTTGAGTTAACCCCAGAAGATACTTCTGGTCTTGTACTAAGAGCTCACTGGTTACCAGATCGGACATAGGAATCTAATATTCATTAAGCCTCACATTTCTTTCTGAAGATGCAGACTGTTTTTCTAGCACTGTGATGAGAAGCCTCGAAGGAATCTAGTGGTAGAGACCCTAAGAGCAGATCATAAACTGTTTTAGGATCCTTAGATATGCAAATTGCTAACCGGAGTCGCAGAAACACACATTATTTTGGACGGGTGCATTTTCAGAACTTCCAGGGAAGCAGAGGGAGTTTGAAGGAGTTGTCAAGACTTTCCATCGAGAACAAAAGTGAAAATTCAAATATCATCAAAGGAAAGTAGTCAGGAACGACTACAGACTAAGAATGATGCTTTACGCTATTTTATAATGTTCCTCCTTTTTGCCATTTTTGCATTCTTGTTCCTGTTGTCTTCTAGAATAGCTAGCCGGGGACCTGCTTCCCACCATTAGCATATGCAAAGGTGACAGGCTTTTGGGCATACGATTCCGATTCCGATTCCGATATCCACCTTGCTGAGACTTTCTCCCTCGCTGGCTTTGAGGAAGCACCCAGCCTTGTGGGCAAGGCCCGTGTGGCAAAGAGCTGAGGGTGGCCTCTTGCCAGCAGCCCACTAGGGACTGAGACCATCAGTCCGGCAGCTCCCAGGGAACCAAAAGCTGCTAACAAGGAAGGAAGGAAGGAGGGAAGCAGACCTTGGCCCGGTCAAGCCTCAGATGAGACTGGCCTGACTGCAGCCTTACAAGGACCCAACTGTGAGATATTAAATGTGTGTTGCTGTAAGTTGCTAAGTGTGTGGTACTATTTTTATGCAATGACAGATAACTAATAAAGATCTCAAAGTACTTTATTTTAAAACAGTTATTATAAAAGTGATACAAAAAAACCAGAAGACACAGTCATCCATTTATCACTCTGCCACCCTATTAAAAGTACAGCTAGTAATTTGTCACCCTTTTATTAGATGCTTGGTGTATTACTTACATCCATGATCCTACCCATTCATACACTTTCATATCTTGCTTTATTAATTATATATTTTCTCATGTTTTTCATTATACTCATTACTAATTTGTATGAGTATATAATGTACCATTTATTGGATATATTGGCTATCTGCATCTGTTTATTGACTATTTCCCTATACCAGGGGTTGGCAAACTATGGCTCTGCATTTGTAAATAAAGTTTTATTGGAACAGAGTCATACCCACTTATTTATATTTGGCTATAGTTATTTATGTACTAGAAATAGCAAATTTGAGAAGTTTTAAGAGAGACTATATGGTTTGCAAAGCCTAAAATATTTCCCTTCTGGCCATTTACAGAAAAAGTTTGTTGACTTAAACTTTTAAGTGGTTTACAATTTGTGCTATTACAACTAATGCCACTTAGAATATCTTTGTGCATATAATTTGTTATACTCTAGGCAACATAATTGGGAGGTATTAACAAAAGTGAAATAACTGGGTCTACTTAACAAAGATGTTTTTAAGGCTGACACTGTCCCTCACTATCTAATATTCTAGCTAGAATAAGAATGGACAGCAAGGTCCTGTACTCTCATAGGTGGCACTTCTCTGGTCCCTATTAATCAAGACATATATGTAATTTTATAGTTGGAATGAGCATATTTTTACTTTTGACTTAAGTCAGCAGTAACTGTCACACAAATACCAACTGAAAGAAAACTTCTACTTTCTACTGGGGATTTAAAAACAAACTGAGTAAACTCTCCAGGTGTCAAGGTGTCCATGAAAGGCCATTCCAGGCTAGTTGTAGTGGCCAAAAGGCACTAAGTAGGATGAATAAGAAAAAGCTGACAGTCTCAGTAATGTATAAGCAGTGGTGGCAATGAACAGTGAGGCAGCTATGAGTTGGGGGACAGAAGTGCTTGACCCCTGTGAATACATCCTAAGCATAAATCTGTATATAACTATCATTAAACTGTATCCAGATAAGAGTTCTAGGGCAACTACCCTATACTTAGGAATAAAAAAAAAAATTCTATCTGGGAAAGTTTTATTCCTCAAAAAGAAAAATGGAATGGGGCCAGCTAAGTCAACCCTAACTATCTTTGAGATAAAGGATGAACCAGGCTGACGGATCTCAAATCCAATCCCAAAGTAAGCATCAGGAAGTATAGGTGTCATCTTCTAAGGGAAATATTCTGCAATAAAAAAAAAAAAGAAAAAGATCAGGATGGACCTTTTCCCCAATATAGAAGGTAGTTTAAAAGCAAAATCAGACAGATATTTAATGTAATTATCCTAATTACACCACCAAAGTATATAAAGAAACTATATATTACATATTTATTTTATTAAGATGTTCCTGTCAAAATGTCAACTCATTTAACATTTTCTAAAGAAGTGTTCTTTTGGGTAAAACTGTTATAAGCCTTTACATTCCACCTTAATTATCAAATAACATCATGACTTTATAAAGTACTCTAGGAAATGATGAAATTCTCCAAAGAGTAAATAAATCTAATTACTTTTCTGAAACTATGAACATATTACTTTAAACAAAACAGCCAGTTTTCTGAGGTGTGAAAATCAGGTCATTCTTTCCTTGAACTTTCATATTGCAAAGGAAGTTGAATGGCTTGATTCACACTTCAAATCATGTCATAATTTTCTTCTTTTTTCACTGTTTACTGATAGTTGCCTCAAAACTGACCTGAGGGTCTGGTAGCATAAATCCATCAGTAAGTTTATAATAGACTATTGTGGAATCGGACTCCACTATGGCCAAAGTAAAAGACATTGGCAAATCTGGATCACCTTGCAATTTTCGAGATGCCTTCAAGATCTCCCTTATCCTGAAAATAAAGCCACAATACATTTAGGATTCAGAGTCACTCAATTAATAAGATCAAACCTGGAAAATCTTGGGGAAGAGGGAGTCAATAACATTATAGCCACAGTGCTGACTCAGCAAATGTCTGAAGGCTCAAATATAGACATCTAAAGTTGTCGTCTCATACAGAAAATCCTGCAAATCAGTCATCTGCTGAAAGCCATCTTTCAGTCCCTTTTGTATTTTCCCATCTCTCCTGATCATCATACATAAGAGAATCTACTGCATTCTGGAACCTATAGAATAAGGCACTAACAGTGTTCAGTGAGCCCACATCGCCTAGGGATCCTGGGCATTCACTGTCCAATTTTCCAACTTGGTATCATATGGTAGAACAATGTAGTATTCAGGTTTGCTTTAAAGAAAAAAAAAAGCTTTTAATAAACATTTCCATGTTTCTATACGGTGTTTATCATTTCTACCTTTAAATGGCTACATAGTATCTATTGACTCAAAATTTACCCTATTTCTGTAAAGTTCTTGCAGGCCTTTTATGGGGAGGAGGGTACTAACAAAGATGTTGTCATGAAGGAAGTTGTTTCTATTGGGTCTTTCCAAGGATTGGAATTATTATATATGAATATAGATATTTTTATGGTTCTCAATATGTATTCTGATACTTAATAGAAGCTAAGAGAAAAATATAGAGAGAAATAAAACTTTTTTCTTATCAAGTTATATATCAAGCATCAATGTTATAAAGGATTTCAGTTTGCTTGCTATGGAAAACAATCTACAAATTGAATATCTAGATCTTCAAAGTGCTATTAGCTTTTGTTTACCACAAACTAAAAATCCTTATTACCTACTCAATAAAGCCTGTGTTCAATAATTCAGTAATATGTAACCTCCGGAGGAGCTTTCTTAAACAGGCAAATAAAAAATAATCAGTTGTCTTTTTCATTAAGCTAACCAATTCTCCAGAAATTGGAAAAAGATTTACTGGCATATTAACATGCTACAACTGAATACATAAATAACCCAAACTCTTGTTCTCTTTAGCAGAAGTGTAATTTACCCACTTAAGTTCTATTCCCATCCCTAAGAAAAAATTTTATGCTCACTCTTCACTCATCCTATTAGTTATTAAATCTATAAACAATCTAAAAAGAAAAGTCACTGCTTTGAAGCATTCTTACTACAATAATTACAATGCTTTAAAAAAAAAATCCATAGTAGAGACTGGAGAATTTAGTGATTTAAAAACAGCAATAAATTTCTGGAAAGCTGAAACTAAATTATTATTGCTAAAATATCACTTAATCACTTTATGACATGTCACGCAGTGATAAGTGGCTTATTAAAACAGTTGCTAAAGCCTGCTTACCTACTACCTCTCATTTAAGTGTTCACAGGTATGTAATGATATAAAGAAAGAATGCATTTCTAAGTTTCTTTCCTCAGAGTCAAGCCATTTCTAAAATGACCTGAGCGAGTCAAGTCAACAATATGGTAATACTTCAGTTGTTAAGCATAATTGTCAGGCAACATTTATTGGGTATATAAAATCTGTCTACCTGGTGAAATCTTAATTCCTTTTCAGGAGTTAGCAAGGCATCAGCTCCTCTCTGAAGTCTTCCCTGTCACCTTTCCCCATAACCTCTAGGCAAAGTTATGTATCTTACCCTACGGAAGCACCTTGTGCAAACCTACATTACTGTAATTGCTACCTTGTATTTATACCTCTCAGTGTCTGTTCTCTACTGGATTGTACCCATTTTCAATGCCAAAGACAAAAACATTAGCCCGATATGCCTAATACTGTAGTAAAATACCTGGGCAGAATGATTGAATGAGGCTTTTGAACAAAGATTTCATATGGCTAAATATATTTCTGACAGATACTTTTCTAAAGTTTATTATGCAATTCTATTATACTAAATAAAACTTTACCTTGTCATGAAAGATCACAATCATCATTTTGATAATTACTACTGTAGATATCGTGGTAGATGGTGTATCAAAGAACTCCCTAGAATTTCTTAAAAGTATCTGCTATTTGCTTGCTTTTTATCCATCAAAACATTCTAATTATCTTATCCCTTGTCTCTGTACCAGAACTTGGCCAACTATAGTCATCTGTTTTTTCATGGCCTGTGAGCTAGGAATGATCTCTATGTCTTTATTTATATTTTTAAATTTTCTTTAATATTTACTTTTGAGAGAGAGAGAGAGACAGAGACAGAGACAGAGCACGAACAGGGGAGGGGCAGAGAGAGAGGGAGACACAGAATCCGAAGCAGGCTCCAGGCTTCCGAGCTGTCAGCAGAGAGCCTGATGCAGGGCTCAAACTCACAAACCATGAGATCATGACCTGAGCCGAAGTCAAACACTTAACCGACTGAGCCACCCAGGCGCTCCTCTATGTCTTTAAATGGTACATTTTAAATGGTCATATAAGTACCTACATAATAGCTACAATTTTGCTACTTTGTCCACAAAGCCTAAGTATTTCTTACTTGGCCCTTTCAGAAAAGGTTTGCTGACCCCTACTGTATACTATGAAAAAGGTTAAAAACAAAAACTGTAAGAAACAACCATCAGGGCGGTGTATTCTTTTCCAATACTATTTATTCAAAAGGAAGAGTAGGAGGAGATTCCACTTCTAATTAGAATGCAGAAGACCTCGAAGACTGCCATTCTTACCATAACAAAGAAAAAACACCTGAATTGTTTTAAAATATTACATTTTTATTTGAAGACATAAAAGAAATGTGAACACAAAGAAATATAGAGGAGATACATTTTAATGAGAACTGAGCCCTTCCCAGGTAAGTAGAGAACATGAGATAAGCCACTTTCATCCCTAAGGGGAATTGCTAAGCGTGGGCACAGTGACTAGAAGAGGAAACCAGTCACAGGCAAACAACCTCACTGTGACAAAGAGAAGCCATCAATACCTGTAAGAGCCACATGTGACCTAGCATGGTGGACTGAAATCTGTAGACACACCAGTCCCTCCAGCTCACCAATTCTCCTTTAGGGGACTAATGCTGCATTTAGGGGACAGCATGCTGGAAAAAAGCAAGCAAGCTCTAATCACAAAGGCCTCATGAAGAGAGAGATTTGGTCCTATTCTCAAGATGTGAGAAACTAGAAGAGAATGGAGATAACTAAAATTGCAGTTCGGCCATGACTAATCTTGACTTCTGACTACATTGACTAAATCAGGCCTTGACTCTACTTGCCAGAAAGGATAAGCTCCTTTGGGGCATGGAGTAGTCAACATCAGTCTCTTATTTATACACAATGTCCAGATATAGTGAACAATTCTAAGCTATGCGAAGAAGCAAGAAAATGTGTCTAATGGGGGTGCCCGGGTGGTTCAGTCGGTTAAGTGTCCAACTCAGGCCATGATCTCGCAGTTCGTGAGTTCGAGCCCTGTGTCAGGCTCTGTGCTGACAGCTCAGAGCCTGGAGCCTGCTTCTGATTCTGTGTTCCTCTCTCTGCCCCTCCCCTGCTCGCATTCTCTCTCACAAAAATAAACATTAAAAAACTTTAAAAAAAAAAAAATTAAAACAGAAAATGTATCTAAAAATCAAGAGCAAAAAGTCAATATAAGACAACCTTCAGAAAAACTAAGGTTGTTGAAAAACTCAGATGTGGTTGGAATAAATAGCTAAAGACTTAAAATAACCATTATAAAAATATTATAATATTGAGAGGGAAAACAGACAAAAAGGGTAAGATAAAAAAAATTTAAGTAGAATAATGAAAATTCTAAAGGAAACAGACATCTTAAAATTAAAATATATATATATTTTTGAAGTGTCGACTAGGCTTAATGGTAGACTACACTTGGCTAATGAAAGGATTTAGTAAAGCTGAAAACAGGTCACAAGAAACTAAATTAAAGTACAAAGAGAGACAAGAATTTAAAAAAAAATACATCAGAGGCCTTTGGTACAATATCGGTTTAACATATGTGTAAATGGAATTACAGAAGGAAAGAGAATGGTATATGCCTTAACCCATTCAAGCTACTGTAACAACAAATCACACATTAGGTAGCTTATAAAGAACAGAAATTCATTTCTCACAGTTCTGGAGGCTGGAAAGATCAAGGAGCCAGCATGGTCTTTTTTTCTGGGCCAAGAGATCTTCACCAATTCTCGAAATGTTTCAGCTATTTCCTCTACACTGCTAGAGTCTAAATGTGTCCCCCAGATTTCATATGAGGGAATCCTAACCCAAAGCTGATGATATTAGGAGGTGGGATCCTTGGGAGGTCAAGCCACAAGGGTAGAGCCCTCATAAAGGAATTAGAAGATCCCTTGCCCTTTTCACCATGTGAGGACACAGTGAGATGATGCTGGCTTTGACACAGGAAGAGGACCCCCACCAGAACAAGACCATGCCGGTACCTTGAAATAACACAAGAAACAACAGGTGTCAGCAAGGATGTGAGGAAAAAGGAACACTCGTGCACTGTTGTTGGGAATGCAAACTGGTGCAGCCACTGAGGAATACAGTATGGAGGGTCTTCAAAAAGTTAAAAATAGAACTACCTTATGATCTAGCAATCATACAAGTGGGTATCTACCCAAAGAAGACAAAGACACTAACTCAAAGGGATACATGCACTTTGTTTATCATACTATGTTTATCATAGCATTATTTACAGTAGCCAAGACATGGAAGCAGCTGACGTGTCCATGGACTGTCAGCTAGATAAATACAATGTAGTATATGTTCCACGGACTGAGGATTAGATAATTACAATGTGGTATATATATATACAATGAAATAACATTCAGCCATAAAAAAGAATGACATCTTGCCATCTGCAATAAATACATGGATGGTGCTAGAGAGTATAATGCTAAGCGAAATAAGTCAGAGAAGGCAAATATCATATGATTTCACTCATATGTGGAATTTAAGAAACAAAACAAACAAGCAAAGAGAAAAAAAGAGAAAGAGAGACAGAGAGAGAGAGACTAAAAAAAAAAAAAAAAACCC